AAAAAAAAGAAATATCAGCAGTTCAAGGCCAAGCACAGTGACTCACGCCTATAATCCCAGCACTCTGGGAGGCCAACGTGGGTAGATTGCTTGAGCTGAGGAGTTCAAGACCAACCTAAGCAAGAGCAAGACCCCATCTCTACTAAAAAATAGAAAAACTAGCCATGCATGGTGGCAGACACCTGTTGTCCCAGTTACTTGGGAGGCTGAGGGAAGAGGATTACCTAAACCCAAGAGTTTGAGGTTGTTCTGAGCTGTGATGCGACAGAACTCTACCTAGGGCACCAGAGGGACACGCTGTCTCACAAAAAAGAAAAAGAAAAAAATATCAGCAGTTCATAAAAATTTGAGGCCTTGTTCTAGTTAATAGATTGTTAAATCTATAGCATATGTGTAAAATACAGTAGTAGCTCTTTTTATTTCCTTGAAACCTCCTATTCTACAGAAAAGTTAGATTCTAGAATTGATAGGTTTATAGAAAAACAATTGGTATATGGCTCAGTGCCTGGACTCAAGCAGCTAAGGCTCCAGCCACATACACCTGAGCTGGTGGGTTCAAATCCAGCCCAGACCGCAAAACAACAATGACGGCTGCAACCAAAAAATAGCCAAGTGTTGCAGCAGGCGCCTGTATTCCTAGCTACTTGGGAGGTGGAGGCAGGAGAATTGCATGAGCCCAGGAGTGGGAGGTTGCTATGAGCTGTGATGCCACAGCACTCTACCTGGGGTGACAGCTTGAGGTTCTGTCTCAAGAAAAAGAAAAACAATTGGTATGGAATAGAAACTGTAATAATGATTAACCGTATCTAATTGCCAAATTTTGAAAAAATTCTATAAAAGAATGTGTTTTTTTTCTGAGAAAGTCCATATTTTATGACTTAATAGTAAAAGTAAATCATAGATTCACAAATTAAAATCACTAAAAATGCTGTCCCCAGTGTTTTAATTTAATGCATCCATTAAGTTAGAAGGTCGTATTCTGAACTCCATTTATTATATTTGTAGATCTATACTTAAAAAGAATAGCTGATCACTTTTCTTCACCTAACCCAGGAACATTTCAAGTGGCAGTAGTGGCTCCTTAGCTGTGCTGCGCACAGGAAATAAGGGTGCTTTATTGACCATAAACCCTAATAAAGGAAATAAATTCTAACCCCCAAAACGAGTTGGGGGCATGAGCTGCCCAGTTCAGACCATTTCTGGGGAGACAGGAGGGTTGTGGCTCATGACACAGAACTGGAGAAAGAGACTTGAAGCAAAGCAGGGGCGTGGGAAAGGCTGCTGAGGCACAAGATATAATTTAAGAACAGAAGGTTAGCAAGGCTTTGGG